GGCAGATCACTTGAGGTCAGGAGTTTGAGAGCAGCCTGCCCAACATGATGAAATCCCATCTCTACTAAAAATACAGAAATTAGTTAGGCGTGGTGGTGGATGCCTGTAATCCCAGCTACTCATGAGGCTGAGGCAGGAGAATCTCTTGAACCCGGAAGGTGGAGGTTGCAGTGAGCCGAGATCACGCCACTGCACTCCAACCTGGGCAACAGAGCAAGACTCTGTCTCAAACAACAGCAACAACAACAAAAAAGATGTTTAAGAAATGCTTGTGGAATGAATTTCTGAATCAGTATTTGAATACAAGTTCCCTTGGACCTAAAGTCACAGAACCGCAGGTCTCTGCCAATGTCAGGATCCCTTATCCTATTACCTCATTGCTGCAGAGAGCTTGTCCCACGGCGGGGCCCAGGGCTTGCCGTAACATGAAGGCAGGAAATTCATCCTTCTATTCATTCATTTATTTGCTCATTCAACAAACATGTGTTAGGGCTGGGCTTTGTGTCCAGCAGGGCAGTAGAACTTGTCCAAGGTCACAGAGCTGTGTGTCCAAGGTCGCAGGTCTGGGAATAGAATCTAGTGTCAGTGATTTCACCTGGGATTTTCTTCAGACCAGTCTTTCTCAGCTCTGGTCAGGTAAGTTTGAAGATATGTGTGGGGTGGAGGGGAGAGGGACGAGAGATGAGTGCAGGAAATCATCAGCGTGAAGACACCACTCGTTCATTCATTCATCCATTCGTTCTATTCAGGAAACACACTTTGGACACCGACTGTGCCAGAACCTGTGCAGGAAGGGGGTTGGGGGACAAGCTACATGGGATGCTGTATTTACCTTCCAGGAGGGAGCTCACAGCCCAGGCTTGGGGGCACTGAAAGGCAGAAGAGTTCTGGGTCCAAGCAGGGACAATGTCATAAATTTGCTTCAGGAACTCCCAGTTAGCTAAGGAGAAACATTCCCGCCTCAGGAGAGACCCCTCTGTAATGGTGAATACATAGTTCTTGTCCCAGGAAGACCCCCTTCTGAGGAGGGAGCCTCAGTGTGTCCCAGGAGAGTTCTCAGTTGGGTAGGGGGACCTTTGGTCTCAGGGGAATTCGCAGTCTGACCCAGCCCTTGCCCTAAGAGATCTCAGCCTGATGGGGGACACACCAAACCCACTCTCTGGGAGTTCCCAGTCGGATGGGAGAGGTAGGCTGAATATATCCACTCCATACACAGGGGGAGGAACAGGAGACCACATGAGGACCCAAACTAATGAACCACTCACTCACACTAAACTGAGTTAGCAAGTCCTGCCGGTCTTTCTGAAAAGCAAAGACATTTGGAACACGTGGAAGCGGCGTGGGTTGAGGTGTTGCACAGAAGTGGAAAAGGGAAGGAACTTTCTTCCTCTGTTCCTTCCCCCTCCCTCCAGAAAGGTATTTCTGGAAGTCTCCAGTTGGTCTGGGATCTGGGCACCTGCTGTGTGTCCCAGTCTGTCAGCCCCTCAGCTGTCACTCTGCTCCCAAAAATAGCAGTGGTTGAGGGGAGGGAGAGGGCGCTGTTTATCTGAGAGAGAGGTGGAAAGGGGCTTTAGAGCTGTGCCCAGGGAGGGAGTCTGCTGGGGGGTTCCTGTCCCTTCTGGATCTTTCTGTCACTTTTTTGGGTGCAAGTGCCTGAGCCCCCCCAGGATACCCCAGAGTGGGGTGCTTGGGTATAGGCTGGTCAGCACCTCCACGTGGTCATGACTGACCAGTCTGGGGAGGGGGAGGGCCCTGAGTATCAGTGGCAGACTCCAGGGGCACCTGCCCCTGTGGCCAAATATGGTCCAGAGCCACTGGCTGAGGCAAGAAAATCTCTTGGGTGGGGGCTGGGAGGGGCATACTGAGGCTGGCTGGCTGGAGGTTGACGCAGGAGTGCTCAGGGGAGCAGCATCAGAGGAGGGCAGATCGAAAGCATTGTCCTCGCTGAGAAAGTAAGCAGGGGCCTGGGGTGTGCCTTGGACTGGGGAGGGAGACGGCGGACTTCTAAGACCTGCGCTGAGAGTTCAGGCCTTTGGCACCAACTGAGTGGCTTCACCTGCTCAGGCTGGGAGGGACAGAGTGAGGCACAGGGACTCTCAACTTGGGCCAAGCTCTGAGCAGATGCTTTAATGTCCTCATGGGGCAATCGATTTGGGGGTTCTGGGGGTGGATCCCTTCCAGGCAGAATCCCCACCATCCTTTCTGGTGTGAGGGGACCCTGGAGCTCCGGACCTCAGACCAGGAGCCCAGCCCTGGGTCTGGAGTAAGGGGCTGACCAGACAGAGCTGCTCCTGTCCCGGCAGATGGCAGAGGTGGAAGCGGTACAGCTGAAGGAGGAAGGGAACCGGCATTTCCAGCTCCAGGACTACAAGGCCGCCACAAAGAGCTACAGCCAGGCCCTGAAGCTGACCAAGGACAAGGCCCTGCTGGCCACACTTTATCGGAACCGGGCAGCCTGTGGTCTGAAAACGGTCTGGGGCAGGGCAGGGCACGGGGCGGGAGTGAGGCAGAGGGGCCTTGGGGCTGAGTGGCAGCCCCTTCACCCTGATAGGAATTGCCCTTCATCGCAGCCAGCTCCACTGGGTGCCTGGGGTTAGAGAAGGGTGTCTCCCCTGACCCATGCCCTGGAAAGGCAGAAATTCATCCAGAGCAGAATCAGCCCAACGCCAGGTGCTTTCATATGTTATTCATGGCATCTTACTAATGGCTATGAGATAGCTGTTGCTGTCCTCCCCCTACTGCAGATAAGAAACTCAGATCCAGAGGGCTTCATTAACTTGCTCAAGCTCTCCCAAGTAGCAGCAGAGCCGAGATTCAAACCTGGGTTTGCCTGATGTCAAAGCCTGTCCTCTTTGCCATGCCTACGAGGAGCATGCCCTGGGCCTCTGACAGCCTGCAGCTCCCCCAGCAAACCCTCTCCCCTCACAGTGGGGACACTCTCTGGCCATCTCTGCATTGGGCCCACATTAACCGAGTCTCCTCCTCCTTCCCCTTTCCTCAGGAGAGCTATGTCCAGGCAGCTTCAGATGCCTCCAGAGGTGAGTCCTTCCCACCCCCAAGCTTGCCCTGTCACATTCTCCTCTGCATGGCCTGGGTTTTAATCTAGTTACCATTTTGGGGGAAGAAGCAGTGAGTATGGAGTGACTTCAGAAGGGAGAGAACAAGCTGGAAAAGGGACTGGAAACATATCCTCTGAAGAGCAGTTCAGGGAAGCTGCAATATTTAGCCCAGAAAAGGCAACTCCCAGGTGGGACAGAGCTGCCTTCAAATTCCTAAAAGGCTGTCACAAGGAAGAAGGATTGGATTTCATCTCAGGGGCTCCAGGGCTGGGCAATGTTACAGGGAATGCATTTCAGGTGTGGAGAGGGCAAGGTTTTCTGATTAAGCTGCCTGGCTGTCTTTTCCTTTTTTTTTTTTTTTGAGATGGAGCCTTGTTCTGTTGCCCAGACTACAGTGCAATGGCACGATCTCAGCTCACTGAAACCTCTGCCTCCCAGGTTCAAGCAATTCTCCTGTCTCAGCCTCCCAAGTAGCTGGGATTACAGGTGCCTGCCACCACGCCTGGCTAGTTTTTGTATTTTTAGTAGAGACAAAGTTTCACCATGTTGGCCAGGCTGGTCTCGAACTCCTGACCTCATGATCTGCCCACCTTGGCCTCCCAAACTGTTGGAATTACAGGCGTGAGTCACTGCACCAGGCCTGCCTGGCTGTCTTGAGAAGGAGGGAGCTCTCCATTGCTGGAGGTATGCAAGCACCGATTGGTTAAGCCCCTGGCAGGGATCCTGTAGCAGAGACTGGAGCATTAGGAATTGGATGACATGACCCTCAAGCTCTCTTCCCACCTTGAAACTCTGTGGCTCTTACTGTCTAACAAAGGGGAGGTATGGGCCAGAGAGTCCACATGGGTTAATCTCCAAGGAAGACACAGAAGCCCAGCAAGAGCATGCTTCCTGGGGTTGGGGCAGTGGGGTTGGTGGTCTAGAGTCTGGCTCCCTAAGGCCCTCATCCTCCGTCTCCCCTCGATAGCCATTGACATCAACTCCTCGGACATCAAGGCTCTGTATCGGCGATGCCAGGCACTGGAGCACCTGGGGAAGCTGGACCAGGCCTTCAAGGACGTGCAGCGTTGTGCCACCCTCGAGCCGCGGAACCAGAACTTCCAGGAGACGCTGAGGAGACTCAACACCAGCATTCAGGAGAAGGTGAGCTGGGCCTCTTCCCACAACCCTTGGCTGCCCAGTCCCTCTCTTCATTCCTAGTAGGAATGGGTTAGGGAGGTGGGTCATCAGGGCAGGGCTAGCCCTACCTCCACGCTCTGAGATAGAGACAGCAAGTGGCATGGGCAGGCTGCACAGAACAGCTAAGCAGGTGCTTCTATCTGTGATGCCTGTTTGAGGGCACAAGCCAACCAAGGCTAGAACACAGGTCTTTTAAATTCCAGATGGGGCCTGGTGCAGTGGCTCATGCCTATAATCCCAACACTTTGGGAGGCCAAGGCGGGCAGATCACCTGAGGTCAGGTAGTTTGAGACCAGCCTGGACAACATGGCGAAACCCATCTCTACTAAAAATACAAAAAATAGCCGTCTGGGTGGGGGTGCCTGTAACCCCAGCTACTCAAGAGGCTGAGGCAGGATAATTGCTTGAACATGGGGGGCGGAGGTTGCAGTGAGCTGAGGTCATGTGCCATTGCACTTCAGCCTGGGCGGCAGAGAGAGACTCCGTCCCTCACACCCACCCCCTCCACACACAAAAATTCCAGATGGAGACTTAGAAATATTATTATAACTTAGTATGTCTGCAACATGATCTATCTCTCTTTCTAAGTATTATAAAATACCTGGGAACTGAGGACATCGATGAGGGATAGAGGAGAGCCAGGCCCCATTAGGAGCGTGATTGTTTCTTTGGAGACAGACTCTCACTTTGTTGCCCAGGCTGGAGTACGGTGGCCCATGATCTCAGCTGCTCACTCCAACCTCTGCCCCCTGGGTTTAAGCAATTCTTGTGCTTCAGCCTCCCGAGTACCTGGAATTACAGATGTGCACCACCACACCTGGCTAATTTTTGTGTTTTTGATAGAGATGGGGTTTCACTATGTTGGCCAGACTGGTCTCGAACTCCTGGCCTTATGTGATCCACCCACCTCAGCCTCCCAAAGTGCTGGGATTACAATGTGAGCCAGGAGCATAAAATATTTTTTAGGAAATGGAGTAGGGTAGGGAGAACCTGGACAAGAGGTGAGAAATCCTGAACTCTAGTCCTGGCTCAGCTGCTAGTTTTGTGGGGCATCTGTTGGGGTGTTGGTTTCCTCTCTGTAAGAATGGTAATCGATCACTCAGCCCCTTGCTCCAAGACTCAGTAACTTCTACACATCTGGAGAAGACCTGTGGTAGGACCACAGCATGCTATCCAGGGTGCAGACTCAAGGACTGAGGAAATACAAACTAAGGAGAGATTCAGAGAGGGATAGGCGAAGGAAAGACCTCTCTGCATCCCCAAAGGAAATAAGCACAGGGCTGGATGCGGTGGCTCACGCCTATAATCCCAGCACTTTGGGAGGCCAAGGTGGGAGGATCACTTGAGCCCAGGAGTTGGAGACCAGCCTGGGCAACACAGGGAGAGATGCTGTTCCTATCAAAAATTAAAAATAAATTAAAAATAGGCTGGGTGGGGTAGCTCACGCCTGTAACCCCAACACTTTGGGAGGCCAAGGTGGGTGAATCACTTGGCATCAGGAGTTCGAAACCAGCCTGGCCAGCATGGTGAAACCCCGTCTCTATTAAAAATATAAAAATTAGCTGGACGTGGTGGCACATGCCTGTAATTTCAACTACTCAGGAGGCTGAGACAGGAGAATCACTTGAACCTGGGAGGCAGAGGTTACAGTGAGCCGAGATCGTGCCATTGCACTCCAGCCTGGGTGACAGAGTGAGATTCCATATCAAAAAAAAAAAAAATTTAAAAATGAGCTCAGAAGTAGGTGGGAGTACTGTGGACCCCCAGAACAAAGTAGCAGGAGGTTCAAAACAGGCTGGCGAGGTGGAGGATGTTGATCAGTTCGGTCACTTTATGAAACACCCAGAGCAGTGGGGTTGGACTGGGGACTGCGAGGGACTAGATATCCCAACAAAATGAGTTCGATTTGCCTGAAACAGAGCTTGAAAGCTGCTTCATCTACACTTCAGGCGTGTTACAAAGAAAAGAAAGAAAGCTGCTTCAGGATTCTGAGCATGGAGACATATTTCTGTTTTATCCCTATTTAAATGTCTAATAGCAAATGGTTTACTAGACTCTAAAACTGGGCTGAAGACCCTTTAGGCCTTCCCAGACTGTTGCGATGTCTCAGTGGGATAACGAATGTAACCAGATGGTAAGCCTTCAGGGGCAAGGACTTGATTTTGTCCACAATTCGACTGTATTTATTCATTCATCGTAGTTATCCGGTGTTTGTCGAATGAATATATGAATGAATGTATGTGTGAGAGCCCAGAGTAGACACCTTGATATTTACTGAGATGAACTGAATGTGGAGCTGAAATGATGTGGACCCCACCTGCCTCCTTCCCTACTCCTTCCTCTCTCCTCAGCTCCGAGTGCAGTTCTCCACAGACTTGAGGGTACAGAAGATGTTTGAAATCCTCTTGGACGAAAACAGTGAGGTTGACAAGCGGGAAAAGGTAAGTGCTGGCCAATATCATCCAGCCAGCAGAAGGACCCGCTAGTCTGGACAGTGACATCATTCTGAGGGGGAAGGGGGACCGGAGGCCTGTCTTTTCAGCCCAGGAAGGAAAATTGGCCAAAGGTTAATCACATTGGAACACAGTGTAAACCATAAGAAAGACTGAGATTTGGGTGAATCCAGTGAGGACGGTCATGCAGCAGGGTTGGATCCCGTCTTTATTTGAAATTTTGATGTTTTGTTCATCGTGGATTTTTTTTGGCATTGATTTTGATTTTTAAAAATATAGCATTGATTATTATTTGATTATTGAGTTCTTTGGTGTCCCTTTAAATTTTGCACCCAAGGCAAGTACCTCATTTGCCTCACTGTAACTTCAGCCCTAAGAAATAACAGCCCGTTAAAATCATGTTTTATTTTATTAAAAAATATTGTAAAGAAGTCTTTCTGAAAAATTTAAATATTTACAGACATAATCATCCTCTTAACCAAACTTGTTACCTTGTTTTTTTTTTATGTTCCCTTCTAGTGCTTCTGCAAAGGAAAAAAATTGAACATTTGAGTGTTTTACATCTGTAAGAACTTGAGAAACAATGTCCACGGAACTTTTGTTAGTTTTATGGTCAATAAATCCATAAACTAGGCAAATATCTTTCCTAACAAACTCTTGTGAGAACATAATGAGGTTTTACAGATAAAACAAGTTTTTTTCTTTTTTTTAAGTGCAAAGCCCTTAGCTGATAGTGATGGTTCTGGGCATGCTTGCCTGAAATTCTCTATTAAGCCCTCTCCCCAGCACCCAACTCAACATCTCTTTGCCCACCTCCTCACCTTGTTCTAGCTCCTGTGTTTCTCAGCCCTGGGTTCTCAGGTCCTGCTTGAGACCTGGAGCCTTTTAAGGTTCGTGCATCCTTAAGTTGGAAGGCTTTCGGTGGGAAGAGACTTGGGAACCTGCTTGCTCAACTGCTGAAATTTACAGATGAGGAGTCTGGGGTCCAGAGAAGTGCAGTGACTCACCTGAGCTCATACAGCTACCAGGGAGCAGAATCAGAACTCAAACCCAGGGTTTTCAGGTCTCATCTAGTGTTTTTGCTGCTCACTTCCTGGGAACTTCAGATTTCTCTGAACAGGAAAATCAACAAAATGTTTAAGGACATGATTCTCCGTGTAAAAACACTACATTTCTCCACCTTTTTTCTAGTCCTTCTCTATAAGCACTATACACATCTTTATTTTAGCATAAGTGCAATTGGAGTAAACATATGATTCTGATTCTGCATACCAGTGCTTTTTCCATTGCTCTTAGTCTTTTTATTCATGACTTTAATGACTGCAATGTATTTCATCCAGTTGGTCTTGATGCAAGTTACTTGGCTTTTTTTCTTGAATTATGTTCTTGGGCTGTGTTTCCAGAAGGGGGATTACAAGGTGAGATAACAGAACAATGTTCTGAAGATCCAGTCTTTGCACTGGCTCTTGTACTTGGCCCACGGTACAGGCCTGGGTGGCCATACCTCCCTCGTAACCCTCATTACCTCTTCCTCCTTCAGGCTGCCAACAATCTCATTGTCCTAGGCCGTGAGGAAGCAGGAGCTGAGAAGATCTTCCAGAACAATGGGGTAGCCTTACTACTGCAGCTTCTGGACACTAAGAAGCCTGAGCTGGTGCTGGCTGCAGTGCGGACCCTGTCGGGCATGTGCAGCGGCCACCGAGCCAGGGTGAGCCCCTGGCTGTAGGGCATGTGGAGCAGATGGTGCTGGTCCAAGGATCTGGAGGGTGATACGTGGTCAGGGCTGTGGCTGGCATCAATGGAACCTCATAAAAAGTCAAAGAGTGTTCCAGTCTCTTTTTCCCTTTGAGTTAGAAATGGGTTTGACTAAGCAAAGACAAGTTATTGAAAGTGCTTAATGCAGAAGTGGTGAATGCAAAGGCTATGATACTTTATATTTTCTCATGCTAAGTCTTTGAAACCCAGTGTGTATTTTACACTACAGCACATCTCCATATGGTCTTGCCACAGTGCAAGAGCTCAACCGCCCCATGTGGCCAGTGGCCACTGTATTGGATGGCACAGCTCTGACCTCTGGAGACGGGCATGGCTTGTGTCAAGAGGTTTCCAGGACCAGGGAGCCCCATGAGGCAATGGCTGCCTGGGCTGATTTCTCTACTGCAGGGAAAGGGGTGGGGAGGATTATCACACCCTCTCTAACCTGCATGGCAGCTGGAATGGAAGGGCAAGGCAGCTGACCATGTTTCTTGCTGGGGTTCTAGGCCACAGTGATTCTGCATGCAGTGCGGATAGACCGAATCTGTAGCCTCATGGCGGTGGAGAATGAGGAGATGTCTCTGGCTGTCTGCAATCTGCTCCAAGCCATCATTGACTCCCTGTCTGGGGAGGACAAGCGGGAGCATCGAGGGAAGGAGGAGGCCCTGGTTCTAGGTAGGAAATACTCTTCAATTTTAGTTCAAGGGGATGGGGAAAGAAAGAGTCAGTTGCCACCTCAGACTGGGCATTCCCTGTATGTAGGGATGGCTTGGTTTTATGTCTTTTCTTTTCCTTTTTTGAGATAGAATCTTACTCTGTCACCCAGGCTGGAGTGCAGTGGGGTGATCTAGACTCATTGCAACCTCCGCCTCCTGGGTTCAAGCACCTCTCCTGCCTCAGCCTCCTGAGTATCTGGTACTACAGGCACACACCACCATGCCCGCCTAATTTTTGTATTTTTAGTAGAGACAGGGTTTCATCATGTTCGCCAGGCTGGTCTCAAACTCCTGACCTCAGGTGATCTGTCCACCTTGGCCTCCCAAAGTGCTGAGATTACAGGCATGAGCCACTGCACCCAGCCTGTCATATGTATTTTCTGATTGTAAAAGCAACAGGCATAGCTGCAGTATTCACAATAGCTAAAAGATGGATACAACTCGAGTGTCCATTAGCAGGCTACTGGATGAGAAAAATATGGTATATACATACAATGGAGTATTAGTCTTAAAAAGACAGGAAAATTTGACACATGCTACAATGTCTATGAACATTGAGGACATTATGCTAGTGAAATAAGCCAGCCACAAAAGGACAAATACTGCATGGATCCACTCATATGAGATACTTGAGTAGTCAAATTCATGGAGACAGAAAGTAGAACAGTGTTTGGCAGGGGTTGGAGGAGGAGAAATGGGGAGTTATTGTCTAATGGGGATGGAGTTTCAGTTTTGCAAGATGAAAATAATTCTGTGAATAGATTGTGGTGTTTGCACAATGGTATGAATATACTTAATGCCATTGAACTGTACACTTAAAAATTGTTACAATGGTAAATTTTATGTTATGTAAATTTTACCACAACTTAGAAAAAGTAACAGAGACTTATTGAAGACATTTGGGAAAATATAGAACTATGTAAAAATGAGAATAAATGCCTATAATTACCCATTCAGATAATCACTATTACCATTACCACATGTATCTTTCCTGTCATTTTTTTTAAACCATCCATATCAATATCTAACAAAATTGGAATTCTGCTATGAATAGTTGCATGTTCTTTTCTTCATTGAGCATTATATTAATATTGCATACCATTTAATATTCTTAAAAAGGATGCCTTTGATTTTAATAATTAATTTTACATTTGTTTCCTGCATATGCATATACAGACTCATGCTTCTCCCTGCACATCCAGGTCCTAGGCATCAACTTAGAAAATGTTGCTCTGGCCAGGAAGGTCAAAGAGGAAGGTTCACTCAGAAAACTTTATTTTCAAGAACATCATAATCTTCCCTTGTATGGATAATTCATCAATCAGCTCTATATTATTGGAGATTTCAATTATTTCCAATTTGCATGTTTATACAAAACTCTCCAGGAGCCATTTTTGCATCTGTGCTTGCATTTATAATTTTTATTTATTTATTTATTTATTTATTTAATTATTATTATTTTTGAGACAGAATCTTGCTCTGTTGCCCAGGCTGGAGTGCAGTGGCATGATCTCGGCTCATTGCAACCTCCACCTCCCAGGTTTAAGCAATTCTCCTGCCTCAGCCTCCCGAGTAACTGGGCTTACAGGAGCACACTACCATGCCTGGCTAATTTTTGTATTTTTAGTAGAGATGGAGTTTCGCCATGTTGTCCTGGCTGGTCTCAAACTCCTAAGTTCAGGTGATCTGCCCGCCTCTGCCTCCCAAAGTACTGGGATTACAGGCATGAACTACCATGCCTGGCCACATTTATAATTATTTCCTGGGGTCAAATTCCTAGAAATGGAGCATAACTAATGTTCTTTCTATATCTTGCTCTCTAATTTCTTTCTGAGAGGCTGCATCAATTTATACTCTCACCAAGCAATGATGAGAGTCCGCATTTCAACACATTCTCATCAGATTTGAATGCTATCCTTCTTAAGGATATTTGCCTTGGATGTAGATTAAAATTATCTTGTTTGATTCAAAATAAAGTACTCATGAGATTGATCATTTTTCTGTATCTTTGTTAGCCATTTGGATTCCTTTATCTTTGGATGGTTTGTTCATGTTGTTACCTATTTTTTAATGTTTTCCTTATTTGTTCATAAGAGGCTTTTTTCTTTTTCTTTTTCTTTTCTTTTCTTTTTTTTTGTTAGACAGAGTCTTGTCTATCACTCAGGCTAGACAGTAGTAATGCAGTCACAGCTCACTGCAGCCTCAAACCTCTGGGCTCAATCCTCCCACCTCAGCTTCTGGAGTCACTAGGACTACAGGCTCATGCCACCACGCCTGGCTAATTTTTAAATTTTTCATAGAGACAGAGTCTCACTTTCCTGCCCAGGCTGGTCTCAAACTCCTGACCTCAAGTGATCTTCCTGCTGTGGCCTCCCAAAATGTTGAGATTACAGGTCACTGCACCCAGCCCTGAAGTCCCGGATTCTAGATGTGACTCTGACTTACTATTATTATAACGGTCAACTAGTCACTTTCCTTTTCTGAGCTAGAATTTTTGGAAGATCCAAGATGGCCCTGCTTGTGTGGCTGGCAGTTAACTGGAAATGTTGACCTTGTGGCTTTGCTAGTGGCCAGCTTGGGTTTCTATAGTACATGGTGGCTGGATTCTAAATGGACAAGCCCCAACGTGCAAGTGCCATGTAAGTCTCTGGTTATGCCACAGGTCATGTAAGCAGCCCAAGGCAGTGTGGGAGGAGATTACTGAGAGTCGTGTTTCCCAGGGAGACACCAATTCACAATCTTCCATGACTTCCTTGGGTTGAGCATCTCTGCTACAAAATTCTTCCACATATTGATTTCCACTCTATCCCCTTGTAGTTTCCATCTGCCTCTGGCCCAAAGTCTGCCCTCTGGAGTCTCACAGAAGGAGTCTATTATCTCACTCTCATGATTTGCCTTTGTCTGAAGATGAGCTGTCACATCGACTTACATCTTTCCTTCTTTAGGCGATGGAGCTGTATTCCTTCATCAGTTATTTATCTGACGTGGTTTGGAGAGCTTTGCTTTTCAGTTTGCCTGCCTTTGGGCTCCATCCTAGGATGAGAACAAAAATCTCTAAGTCTCAGGGAGGGCAAAATCAGAAAAAGGCATTTGTCTTTTAAGATCTACCAGTGGGCAGGAAGTCCTGGCGTCACAGGCAAAAGCTTGAAGTCAGGCACCCAGCCTGCCTGAATCTGTGGGGAGTGAAATGTCTCTAAAGAGTATAAATTCCCTTTCTGAAAAGCATTTTATTAAATAAGTTTATTAAAAACCACATAAAGCATCCCTGGAGCTCTGCCGCTCACTGCTAGGAGTGAAGAACTTTCTAAGAATCCAAACTGCTCAAGGATGGAATGAGCTGTTGTAGAAGTCAGTGTTCAGGGTGGCTGGAGGACCGCTTGCGGGTGTTGTCTAGGGATTTCTCTCCCTTTTTTCGGGTGAGATGGGCAATACTATACTCTCCTGGGAATTCACATATTCAGGAAGTAGTGGATTCAGTATTTCCAGAGTCTAGAAGCTGCTGCCCTTCCTGGTCATATATATGTGAGATTTCCTACCCCTTTCTACTTACCCCTGTCCTCTTGTTTTCAGACACCAAGAAGGACCTGAAGCAGATCACCAGCCACCTGCTGGACATGCTAGTCAGCAAGAAGGTATCTGGCCAGGGCAGGGATCAGGCGCTGAACCTGCTCAATAAGAATGTCCCCAGGAAGGACCTTGCCATTCACGACAACTCACGCACCATCTATGTGGTGGATAACGGTGAGAAGAGGGGAGGGTTTGGGGCTTGCTCAAGCCTTTTAAGTGAGCACCAGGGCACTAAACAGAAAATGGAAGATGTGAGGCTCTTGAAGGGGTCTTCAGTCCTAACTGAAAAGGTGTGAAAATGCGTTGGCACATCAGGATCACCAGTGGGCCTGTGAAGGTGCAGGTCAAGGGTCTGAATTCAGAGCCTGAACACACCCAGGAAGTGCCCAAACACATCCCCAAAACGTGTGGGTGGAGCTACCTAGCAAATGGGGACAAGGACTCCACCAACCGCAGGGTAAAATTCCGGAAGTCTCATGGTTGGTAAAATACTTCACAGGCCTTTCAAAAGGGAGGAAATTGTAACAAGTATACTTTACATAAAGCACAGTGAGAATGTTTGTAAACCCAAAAGTATCTGAGACAGTTCTCAATCAATTTAGAAGTTTATTTTGCCAAGGTTACAGACATGCCCCGCAGAGAGGAAACACAGAATCACAGAAACAGTCTGTGGTCTCAGCCTTTCTCCAAAGATGATTTTAAGGGCTTCAATATTTCAAGGGGAAAAGCAGCCTGGAGGGGAAAGAGGAAGGGTACGTTCACATTATATGAATGCACACGTTGGAAGAGAAAGGAGGAGGCAGGGAAATAGTCAATTACATATTTGTCTCCTGCTCAGTAAATGACCACTTTACACAAGATAAGGTGAACATAGAGTGGACATATTTAAGCACTAATTTACTAAACCTGTGGAGATATTTAATTTTTTATCTGTAGCTACCTGCTTAGGAATAAAAGGAAAGGCAGTCTCTTGCATGACTCAGCTTTGAGCTTAATTTTTTTTCCTTTGGTTTAGGGAATTGAGGGGGATCCCAAGATTTTATTTTAGTTTTTAAATTTATTTTTATTTATTTTTTTAGAGATAAGGTCTCACTCTGTTGCTCAGGCTAGAGTGCAGTGGCGTGATCATAGTCACTGCAACCTCAAATTCCTGGGCTGCAGCGATCCTCCTCCCCCTCAGCCTCCCAAGTAGCTGGGACCACAGGCACACACCATCATGCCCGACTAATTTTTTTTTATGTTTTGTGGAGATGTGGTTTTGCTATGCTGCCCAGGCTGGTCTCAGACTCCTGGATTCAAATGATCCTCCTGCCTTGGCCTCCCAAAGTGCTGGAATTACAGGCACGAACCACGGCACCAGGCCAAGATTTTATTTTCCTTTCACATGTTCTGGCAGTCACTCAATTTGTCAGCTCCGAGATGTTACCCCTCTCCTCAGTCAACTTCTTTGATTGTTAAGGAATCATACCTGTGGTTTTATGATCTGCTATGGTAAATTCTTCCAAAGATTTTATGACACACAGACTATCCCTTGTTCTAAAAGACTCAGATCAGCTTTTCCCAGCTTAAAAAATATCTTTTGATATTGCACTTCCCTTGTTTGGTTTTTACAGACCTCAACAAAGTACATGTGCAAGTGCTTAGACTTCAGCACATTACTCTACTGCTAAACGCCCAAACCCCACTTCCTCCCTGCCTCATTCTGGTCTTCTCCGCATGTATCATGAAACGTGAGCGTTAACAACAGACCTTCTCTCTCTGCACCAGGATCTAGGCTCATCCACGTGTTACGGGTTGGGACAGGTGGAGAGCACTATTTTTTATTCTGTTCTTTTTGCAAAGGGCACCAACATGGATAGCACTTGGGTAAAAATAATGTGGATTTAAAAATTCCAATATTCAGATACAAAGCTGCAATGTTGAGGTGTTACGTGTTGTGCAAACTGGGCTGGGAGACACGGTAAAGGAGCCGTCAGGATGTCAAACCTGAAGTGAGCTTTTGGGTGGGGGAAGGGGCAAAGATTAACAGGAAGAAGGTCTGGAGTGTTTGAACAGAAGAGAAACGAGATGCTCAAGGCGTGGGCAAGAATGGAAGGGGAGAGTGGGAGATGGGATTGGAGAGGTGCATTTGAGGGAGGCTTTTGGGACCCAGGCTGGGGACTCTGGGTTGGCTCATCAGGCACTTCCTGTTACTCCCCAGCCCTGTTGAGCACTTTTTAAATGTGTGGTTGTGACATAATAAGAAATATACATATTTGGTCTCTGCTGCTGTTTCCTGGCACACAGCTAACCTCTGAAGTGATAAGTATCTTTTTGTATGCTCATGTAATAACTGGTGGCTGGAATCCCCTAGGTAACCTCAGAATGTCAGAATGGGGGCCAGTTGCCAGGGGAAACAACCATGCAATCACAAGATTGGAACTTTCAGCCCCTTACCCTTTACCTCCAGGGAGGGGAGAGGAGCTGGAGGTGGGATTCATCACTAATAACCGATGATTTAATCAACCGTACCTACATAATGAAGCCTGTGTTTTAAAAAAATCCCTCACCAAAGGGGCTTAAAGTGCTCCCAAGTTGGTGAACCCATGGAGGTGCTGGTGAGGTGGCTACCTGGAGAGGGCATGGAAGCGCCATGCCCCTTGCCAATACCTTGCTCTCTGCATCTCTTCCATCTGACTGTTCCTGAGTTTTTGTTTTTGTTGTTGTTTTTTAAATAATAAATTGGTAATCAAGTAACTAAACTGGTTTTCTGAGTTCTGTGAGCCATTCTAGCAAATTATCAAACCTGAGGGAGAGGGTCATGGGAATCTCTGATTTATACTTGGCCAGTCAGAAGCACAGGTGGCAACTGGGACTGCTGGCATCTGAAGGAGGGTAGTCTTGTGGGACTGAGCCCTTAACCTGTGGGGTCTGTGCTAACCCCAAATAGATAGTGTCAGAGTTGAATTGCAGGATACCTATCTGGTGTCAGAAGTAAGCTCTGAGAGTAGAAGCAGTTTAGGGAGGAAACAGAAGTTTTCCTTTAAGTGGTGAAATGTAGGTTGCACAAAATTTACTGCCAGGCACTTTCTTTTTCTTTTTCTTTCATGTGTGGAGATGGGCTATGTTGCCCG